TTGGCTTCACTAGACTATAAAATAATTTTCCAATATTATTTTACGAATAACAGTTGTTAAATATCCATTAGGAATATTTTACTGTAATATAAACGTATTTTAGTTGTATTTTATAAATCAGGCTTCCAAAACCTAAAGTATTATGAAAATGTGCTCACATAGTGACGAAAATCAAAAGTGCTTGAGTAGTCCGGCGTCAGCGATCTTCTTTTGCTTTTTTCTCTGCTTGCGTTTTAAGGTTCTGTACCTAAAGGATAAAACGGGAATCCTATTACTTAGACTTCGCTGTCTGTATGTTTGTTTGTCTGTCACCAGGCTGTATGTTATGTGCCGTGAAAGATAGATGGTTAATTTTTTTTATCAAACATGACATTGTATTTTTTAATTATGTTGTAGTTTCACTATAAATAGGTAGTACTCAGAGATACATTAAATTATCTCTGTTATCGGTATAATCAAAATAATTATTTTCGTTGATTTTGATAATCGTATTGTGTCAATACGATCACCATATTAATAGATGATCTATAATGAGTTTGCGAAAATTATGGCTTTGAATTCGATCTTATAAACATATTTACAATTCAAAGTTATTACAAAAATTATAAAACGCACAGAACTATCATCCTACATTACCCATATTTTATTTTTATGTTTGTCTAGATGCAAATGCGACACTATATTCGAACATACGTGCGTTAGAATTGTCTGCCTTCATAATGAATTTGATAAAAAGTGTATGTAATATTAAAAAGTCATTTTGTGAAATCAATTATATCTAATTGCATATCTCTCCTCTCAAGTCAGCAGTGTCTGTTTGTAGACAATAAAGATATCCGCTCATACTGACAACCCACTCTTCACAGAATTTGACTCGGTAAGACTTTAGTAATACTTTCTGAGCACTGTTGTTTCATAAACCTGCTACTCTTCCCAAATCTCTGTAAAATTGTTTTGTTATGAAACTACTCATGCACGGATTACTGCCGGGTTTCAGTAAATATACGGAACCGCTTTTTGTTTTGCCATATCTCCGTATTTCTGAAAGACATTTGCTAGAATTTTTAAAATTGACATCAGCTAGATTTTATGTAAGTTCCATATGGTACTGACATAACAGAACAAATCTTTCATTGTAATAAGTTTAACTCGGTAGCGCGGCTATATCAAATCTGTCCAACTATTCTCTGTTGAAAAACAGCTTCGAACTTGATTTCTAGTTCAGTGCTTTCACGTCGTAGAAATTAAACGAAATGAAACCTTATCTTTTAAAATAACTCTTATTTTTTTAGACCTCAAGCTATAACAGCGTTCATCAATGAGTTCGAGTCTGATTTTATAACTAATAATCGATCTACGGGGGGGAGGATCCATGATAAGGGTTTGCCTGTGTGTTTCTTCCCAACACGATGGGTAGAGGACCGGAGATTGTTCAGTTGCGCAACTCTAGTCTCTATCCGGGGGCAGATTGACCGGTTTGCACACTGGTTAGGCACTGCACGCCCCCGCCTCGTCGTGGGGGTGCACCGCGAATGTCTCTGAGGTGTACCCCCAACCCGCGGGGGCTATTCAGGGCAGGCCGAAATGGGGGCGAACAGAGGCCGAAATGGGGGCGGGCGGTGTACGGCCTCCGGGTCAATCCCGTGCATCACCTTCCATGCGAATGATATCGCTGAGTTTTAGTGGGTAAATTCCTGCTTCCTGTCTAGCCCCCTCGAACGAGGAGTCCCACATAACTCGCAAACCGTAACGCATTTCTAAGTATCCAATAAAACGGATACTCGCTTCGGGTTTCACCTGGTAGGCCGGCTCGCTTTCTCTGTCCTTTTCCTGGTTAAAGGCTTAAGGAAACATTTGATTATTTCTTTGCATTGAACAGGCTCTGAAACTACTGGACTAATTTTAGAAATTCTTTCACCTACGGGAAGCTACATCATGCGCGAGTGGCTATAAGTTTTGTGGGCGAAGTTACGGGAAAACAGATAATCTATTTATACGTTAGAGACAAAGGTGCCCATCTGACTGATTTACCAACACATAACTCAAACTATTGGACGTATTAAACTTTGATACATCAATAGCTACTATAACATAGATATTCACAGTGAATAGATTTTGAATAATGTTGAAAAAGGATTTGAAAATCATGTACATAATCTCCTTGGGGAACCCGCTCGCAAAAAGATAGTATTCATAAATTTATCTTTTATATCACACCGCAACTGAATTTATATAGGTTAATTTATTTAATGAAAATCAAAACAACATATATTTCTTTTCCGTTATACTTTCTAAAGTTACATAAAATTTTAAACATCTAACACTTTTTTATTATTCACCAAAGATTCCAAGCTGATATGAAATCTCGACAAAGTTGCTCTTACGAGTATATCACGGATTCAGACAAACTTTTACGCGAAGTGCACTTGCGCGAACACTAAACCGGTTCGCACTAAAACCGGTAATAGTCACAGTCTGCGCTGTATGGTAACGACGCAATGTTACAGCGAGTTTACATTGGCGAAAGTGTAAGCCCGTTAAGACTTATGAAGAGTGGGTAGTTAATGCGAATAATCAGCGAAAAGAAAAAGGGAAGGATATAATTTAAATAAAGTGAGTTTATCCAGACTTATGGCACAGACCTTTTTTATATAAGTAGGAATTGACTAATTTATAATAAGTTAGAAACGAGTTTAGGTATAAACAATTTTCTACATTTTTTCTTAAAAATTATAATATTTTCATGAAATGCTAATAAGTAAAACAACACACTTTTCTATAAGATATATTTGTTTTATCTTATTCGTGACATGTTTATCTGATAAATATTTCGTCAATATAAAGTCACGCTAAGTTAATTTTACAATAAATAATACACAAGTCAATTTTATGTATTATTGTCATATATACATTATTTATTATCCCTATAAGAGTACAGTTCAATTATTATAAATATTTTGGAAGTATTTTCAACAGTTTCTTTAAAACTTCCCAATTACATTTATTTTATATCTCTCATTTGCACCAATCCTCTGAACATTTATGTGTCAAAAACATTGAAATATATATAAATGCTGACTCTGCTGATTTCCCTCATATCCATATATAAGTAACTAACCAAGTTTGAGCATTGAGATTTTTTTCAGTTTCCAAATCAGACTTTTAATTAACCGGTTTGAATCAATAATAACCGGTAAATTTGTTTATTTTTTATTATTTTTCGTAAATTTTTGAGTAAGTCTGAAAGAATATATAAGTAAGCAATTTTTAATAACAAAAACCTCTTCATTACTTCCTCTCACTACGTAAGCGAAACTGCAACTAATAACTCGTTAAATTGCATGGATAAACTACAACTTAAGCTGTATAATACGATGAACGTTTTTAGTTGTTTAAAAGTTCTTTAAAAGTCTTTATACAACGATGTTGCCTTTTAAAGACTTCAACCTGTAACAAAGTTAGTTCATAAGTTTTAGTCGGCAACACACGTATACTTGTATCAAATAAGTAATCTAGATGCACGCCAACAGTCATTCCATGTTGCTACAGTTATAGTTTACAGCTGCGAGTTAGAACTGTTTTACGATTGTCAATTTAGTAATTTTACAGAGAAATGGAGTCGAATGCAACAATATTACGCCATGGGATATTGTAACGTCAATTTTATATTAAGCTTAGCATTCGTGAGACCTAGTGCAGTAGAACTTTGATTACCATTCATTCCTCATCAGTCTATTTGATGGGGGAAAACCATTACTAGGTAATATAAATTCCCCTTGAATGGATACTGATCGAATCGAATAGGGAAAATGGGCCATGGCCCACCACGCGAGCCAGTGCAGATTGGTGAGTGTTAACGATTGCAGATGAGCGTCAATTTACGTGCCTTTTGAAACACAGAAGAGCTCAAGAAAATATTTTTTTGTCACCCATCTTATGATCAGCCATTGCGAAAGCTGCTTAACCGTTAACTCAGCACAATTCCTCTTAATGGGGATTAAGCTCCACATTATTCGAAGGCTTACTTAGTTTAACCCGTTCAATTTTCAGAACTTTGGCGCAAAATCTTCAATCGCTGACGTTATATAGGTATTTAATTAGGCACAGTAACATACAACTGACGTAGCTCGCTAATGTACCTGCGCAGAAGTCTGAATTTTGAATCGCGGCAATTGTCAGCCAATCAGAATGATTTACGGATCGCGCCATCGGGGTGATCCACCAATATCCGCGCGCACAACTCCGCTGAGTGTGAGTGCGAATAAGACGGACACCTAATGCGTATGATTGCGTTTACATTAACTACTGGACATAATATAATTCACGTGGGCGAATTCGCGGGAAAACAACTAGTATTTGTTTAAAATATTCATAAAGTTTTTACAGCTTTGCTGTTCCATAAAAGTACAGAGTGCAGTTCATCAATGTCACATTAGAGATTCGATCAAATAAAACCTGTTTCTAAAGGTAGTAAAGGTTTTTTTCTAATGCAACCATAGCGCTATTTTCAATTGTTGTATGGAATGCCGAATTTTTTCAAGGATATCTCTAGATTGGACAACTTATAATAAAAAAAACTGCCACCTTAAAAAAAACATGTGCCATCAAGTTGTCCCATTGTTCTATATGTTATGTCCAACAATCTTGTATTAATAATTAAAATTTAACATTGTTTCATAAATATCACCTTCATTAAATTTACACATCAATTGACGTTGACAATAATACAATGTCTTAATTTCCCATTGTTTCGGACTATCACAATCCGTATTAATTTAACAAATACACAATTTAATCTTATTGTTTTAAATCAATCGGGAATCGAACATTTGCAGCCAAAATCAGATATTATGCTTCAAAAAACGTCTTTAATATTGTATTAAATAGAAGTCATATATGACCGGACGAATGCATTTGAGAATTATTCTAAATAGATATTATTTGAACAAGTGTGTTATTGTTGAGAAATATATAAATAATGGATGTGTCGATGTATTTTTGTGTATATCATATACCGTATTGGTCGACAATAGACCAGCAAAATGCTGCCTTTCGTTTTGGTATCGTTATTTTTATCGGTAAGTGTTGCACTTGTTTTATTTATATATGTCAGCAATGTTTGCTTTGTTGTTCTAAAAAATAAGATTATTATGTATTTATAATTTACAAACCCTTGCTCAGCGAAATTTGCCATTAGCGATATGTTTTTTGTATAAAAAAAAGTTGTATAGGCTATAAACGTATGCCGCTCGCCAATATGAATTGGAGGCTCATCTCTTATCAGTCCAGTGACTAACAAATATATCAATTGGCTACTTGACCATTATGGAAATGGCATTTTAAATTTACATATAATAATGTTAAACCATTTACAGATTTATTTTTCGCCTAAACCAATTTTATTTATTAATTTAATTTCCCTCGAAACAATCAGTCATTTCGAGCTGTGACGTCAGATTTTAATAAACATGTATACCGTAGGACAATTTTGCTAATATTAGTGTAATTATGAAACGTCAATAGCGCTTCATCTAATAAGGCCAAGGTTGCACTTGAATCAAAGACGTTGAAATTTTATCTATTGCAATATGACGACACCCGAAACTCTATCACGGCCGCTCGTTTGTTGGTTCATGAAATCCAAGTTTATAAATTGCACGTTAATTTTCAAAAATTAAATTATACATAATATTTTATTATCAGTGGATTTTTTAATCTTTTTCCATTAATATACATAATATGTTTTTTTAAATACTTTATAATTATTGATTACATTTATAATTTACCTTTTCCAAGATGTTTGGTTATTATTATTATTATTTTTGATAAATCGTGGTTTTCGTAAATTATAATTCATTTTTTTCTCACAGTTTACACTCATATTTTTTTTGTTATAGCGGTAAGACCTAAAAATATTATTCATATCCCATTAGCATGTAATCCGTATTTAATATAATTTTAATATAACCAAAAAAAAAAAAGAGCAATCCTCACTATCAGGCACTAAAAGTTAAGCGTTAAGCGGCGAATAAATGTACACATAGCGAGTGATTTCCTAATTTTTGAAAACTATAACCTACCTCAGTACCTCTTCGGCCACACGAAACGATGCCCGAATATCCGAAATAATTCACATATTGTCGTACATTTTCGTTTTTTTGTATATTCCAGAGATTTAATGAGAAATTTCGCACTCCTATCGCTTATGACTATGAGGGCAGAATATTGCATTCACAATGCTATATTTACTGAAAAAGAAATCGAGTCCTAACTTTTCGTTAACCGACGCGAATGACTTCAATATTCTCACAATATCTCTGATAGTACTTTTGGTACAGCAATCGCTCGATTAAAATAACTTGAGATTAAATCATTTTAAGTGGTTTTTGTTATTTTTAATGACAAATGCTTATAAAATCCACATATTCCCTAACACTATGAGAAGACTTATATATAAGGGACTAACAGGACTGACGAATATTTTTCAGTATGACATGGTGAATGAAAAATTGATCAAATATAATGTTTTGTTATTTCAAATAAATAGGTGTGCCACGTTGCTTCTTAAATCGGCAACTACGACATATTAACATACTTTACACATGATTTGCGAAAAATATAATGTTTAATAATTAGTACGCACCACATCTCATCAATTAAAACTCGTGAATCTGAAACACGAACTTTCTATTTAAATCTCTGGAAAACAGAAAATAATAAAATATCATGAGAATAATGCTTGTTTGCACCCTGTAGACCCTATGATCGCGTGAGCCATAAAAAAAATGTTATATGAAGGTGGGAGTTTGATAAACATTATTATATAAGTGGTGAGAGTTCATCGTCCCATTGTCTTTTAATCATTTTTATGGCATTTATAAAATTGAGGCCTGAATTATCTGAGAAAAGGTGGAACAATATCCTTTAATACGTTCCTACGTAATAAGAGGAATACGCAATGAACCTGTCGCAATGGAATCTGTACATCTATTTATTGGAGATTGCGAGATATCCACTCATCGCCATAGTTAACTTCGAAAGCAGTTATTCATCTTATAATACTTAAACTTTGTTTTTTTATATTTTTCTATCAGAAAAAGTCAGCAAAGAATAGTTGACGCAAAATGTATTAAATATAAGTAATACGTAACGAATGACAACAGATATTCATCTTAATTGAAGTTTAAAATATTTTATAAAAAATATTTCTTTCGGGTATATATTTATTCTGGTAGATTGAGATTAATGACCTAAATACACTAACTAGCATTTGTAGAATTACTAATAGCAGCAAAAGTAAATTGTGATGTCGAAGGTAGCGACCTTAAACTGCCACACACTTGCGTCACACACACACACACACTGACACGTTGGTCAAGCAGATGTGACACATTTGGTAAACATATGCGTACAACCAATAAGCAAAATGCGGAACAGACTAAACATAAATATGATAAACCACCACTTACGTTCTTGCAAAAGACATCTTGAACGAGTAAGTAATAAAAAATATCAATAATACGATATCGGACTGACAAAGGATAGTTTAAAACGATAATTGTTGAAACAAAAACTCATGGCATAATATCAAAGGCGACCTGGTGTAATTTCTTACGCTATGCTACTGTCGTTGCATTGCACTGTGACCAGGTGCCTATTTCATGGAATCATCCGTACTCGTTCTCAAGGGGATAGATTGGTAGATTTACATCTGTATAATGTAGGCATATACAGTGTCAATATAGGGTGCCCGACAGCGAGACAACTCGCAAATTCACAGCTGTTCGTTATTCATAGATTTTGATAAAACGAATACACGTATGAGAGATCTTATACAACGTGCACATATTAAATCTCACTGAAGAAAAAACATTTTAATGGCTTTGGGAGAAATTAAAAATTCACCAGTAGGTGCCTGAGATGCCCCATGTATTTTACTACTTAAATATCTTTTTAAACATATGAAATCATTTTAAAAAAATAAAGATATACTACAAAATAAAGCGGGGAATTCACTATACAAGTATACCCAGAGCACCACGATACTATTGGTCTGAGTAATGTTTACTAGTGTAGGACCGACTATGTCATTACACAGACTTTTAGTAGCGAAGTCCGGCGATATCCGGCGATGGCCGCTGGCATACCCGTCTAGTGAATTCCCTGCTTAAGATGAGAAAGACGGAGTGTAATTCCAGCATTGTTTGTGATTGTTCTAGAGCGCGCTCGCCGTGCCCGTATCTGTGACTCAATACAGCATCAACGAAGTCGCTCCAGCCCGTCTCGATGGACGTCCTGTCTCGGGGTGATCAATTATTTATTGTTAACATATTTGTATAATTGGAAATTGGTGGCCAGTGTTATTGGGTTCAGTCTGAAAAGAGGAAATTAAGAAACTTTCGCAAGGGCTTATCATCTGTTAGCTGACTTAAGTCTTAACGGGCTCTCTGATGCAAGGCCAAAATGCTTTATGATCATCCATCCTACTTTTTAAAAATTGCTTAACGTGTACCATATTATTATATTCATTGCATTATCGCTTAATAAAATACCATTAAATTTATCTTTTCAAAGAGCCATCATAAACAATGTATTGGAATACGCAGTCGACGGTGGTGATACCAACATCTACATCCTGACCTTAGAACAGATCTTGAGCGATGTGGCCAACCTCGCAGATATAAAAAGCCAAGCTCTCGCTGTCTCCCAAACCCTAGCTCTCCTCGGGGAACTCGCCTCTGGAGTACCTGGAGACGCATGTGAAGCCGCTGCGGTGAGTAATTATTACTTAATAAACTTAATCAGTCTACTAATATTCCTACTGTTGAGACAGAATTTTACCCTATGGATGGACTCAACGAGAACTGGTGCAAAACCTACCACATCCAATGTGGTTTTAACGACTACAGATACAAATTTTTGAATCTGCAGTCGTTAATACCACTTTAACCAGACGCTTAGATTTACTTCCAAAGCACGGAGGAGTAATACTCTTTATAATATTATTTGACCATTCATCCTATGACGCAGCTTAAAGGATGTTGCTCAACTGTGTACTTTTATCTAATCCTCCATAAATAATTTCAACCTGTGATTGATTTGGCAGCTCGTCAACGTTTATGCTGACTCCGTACGCACTGGTAACAAGTCCCAATTGCGATCAGCTGTCAACAGATATTTGGGACGGCTCGCCTCAAACATCGACTTGATCGTACGCCTCGTGAATAACCCAGATTCAGTTCGTTACGCTGTGAGTACCATGATGACTAGCTGTTCTTCTTCTTCGTATCCTCAATACTGAAATTTGTGACAGAAAGAGACCACGCGCTGTAAGAGAACCAACCATCTGGCTCAATTACTGCTCGTTCGTTTTCTTAATGGCGTTGGTCCATCGGTTTTGTGTGAATCATATTTATGAATTTTCTACGATAGTCCTGTCCCAATGGTCTAGTCATTTGGTATATTAAAGTAATTGCTTGGGTAAAGGTAAAATATAATTTCCAACTTGACACACTAAGAAAGTATGTTATATACACGTTCTGAAGCATTAATATTACAGTATCTCTTCGAAACGTACTCTTATAATCATGGCATAACGTAAGGTTTTCAATATCGAACATTGATGAAAATATGCTCTGTAGTTGTGAAAAACTAACAATTGCTTGAAAAATTCGTCAGTCCTGTTATATCCTGTGTAGCTCAGTGGTTAGAGCAGTTGCCCGGATCACGAAAGGTCGTGGGTTCGAATCCCATCTCACAGTGCCGGGGACAAAATGGAATTTTCAAGCATTTTTCATTAAGAATATTTTTCCGTATAGCATTTTGAATGCAAAATTAATAAAATAAAATTATTAGAACTGAACATTGATGAAAATACGCTCTTTCATCAGTCCTGTTAGGTCCTGGGTAGCTCAGTGGTTAGACCAGACGCCCGGAATTGCGAAAAGTCGTTGGTTCGAATCCCATGTCAGAGTGCCGGAATTTTTAAGCAATTTTCATTAAGTATAAAACAGTAACGTTAACACCGTTACCAATTGAGCTTCATGGAACTAGAACTATCATGTCAAAAATACTCTTTACGTTCAAATCAAGTAAGTACCACGCAAAATTGTACCTAGAATTTACGTATGAACTTCAAAGTCATCATAAATTTATCAAAGAATTAACAGTATACAATATCAAAGAAATTCGATATATTTTTAGCCTTTCTTAATCGTTTAGCTTGTAGTGATTTATCATCGAGCTATAACGAATCACATTCTTTTTATCTGTAAACAGTTCCAATATTCTTTTAACGCAATTTTCCTTTGTTTGTTTATAGGTAATTATAGATGTTCAGAATAACTATACTGATAAGATTTTTGCAGGTCGGATCGAGAGGCAACTGCTCTGGAGGCGGAAGACGCTACCAATTCGAAGCAGCTTGGGATGCTATCTTGAACAACTCCAACCCATATCAAATTGGGTAAGCGGTTTTTAGAAAAGCTTTTGAATGTTTGCATTGAATAGTAACCGAAAGTACTGGAGCGGTTTTCATAATTCTTCCAACTACGGTGCCTGGGAAGCTGGATATAATATAATTTTGTCCACTCATCTTGTGATCGGCTCTTGCAAAAGTTGCTTAGCAACCTTAAAGCAAACCGAGCTAACCACTGTGCTATAGAGCTACAGTATACGCGGCTAATATAGAATCGGGCGAAGTCGATAGAAAACATATAGTTTATAATAAAAAACATGTTTTAGACTACTCAATGAAGAATACTGCGCTCTCCGACGTCTGTACAGCGCGTTCAATAACCGTAGCAATAACGTTGGAGCCGCTGTGTCCGCAGCCTCCGTGGTCCCAGTCACTCGAGCTGTAGAACTGGCTCTTGGGCCACTCTCATCGGTAAGTCAGTCCTAATATTTTTAACTGTAGGTGATGAGAGGAACTCTCTTCCTTATACTTATTCAGGCCTTATTATAAGTCGATCAAAGTTAAAATGCATCTATTCTACCGTTGGTGTCGTGTCATCTGTACTCTTAAAATTGTTAGTATTTTTATTACGCTGCTACATTGAATTGTCAATATAGTCCCGTGTCGTCTGAATACATTCGTACATTCCTACATTCGTTCTAAAAGATGGATTATCGGCTGATTTGGTAATCGTTATTAAAAATTACCTGGTGAACATGAATTAATGGCTGTTTAAACAACGATTACAATTTAATCGACTGATTTCTTAATCAATGTTTCACCGACGGTCGGCGATCTCCAGCTTAGGTCTGTTTAATCATAATACGTTTTTCAATATACTTAACCATAAGAAAAAAGATTTTTCTTCAAATATGAATATGATTATTTTATAGTAAACATATAGGTGTGTAGATAACTTTTTTGTATATTATTTTTATAGATATACTTGAAATATATCTAAAAAATAATTTAAATGTATTAATCATATAATAAGCTAAATTTTAAAATAAATTTCATTTTCAAAAATCTTCCTCGAAAACGCCACTTCTGTCATGGCAACGCTATAACGTCACGGCCCTCTGAAACGTTCAATGTCTGCATAAGCTTGACTTCTCGAAGTTCTAATTTGAGTAAGAGACGATACGCGCTGTTTGCGGTTACGTGACAACGAGTTTAAAATATTTGTTTATTTTCATACTAAATTTAAGTAATATTATAAATAAGCACTAATAAGCATAAAATTTTCGTTAATAGTATAAGTAACACTACCAGAAAAATAAATACGTATTTATTTTCGTTTATTGTCTACACTCGTATTATGGGTATATGGATGATTTGGAATCATTGAACTCCGGATAGAGTAGGATATCATAAATAGAAACGTGTTTAAAGACATCCTTTATTTTCTTTCTTCTGATATATTGGTAAACACTGTAATTAAAAATAATTTAATCAAAAACATATTTTCTGCAGTTCTTGAGAGCGGTCGCTTCTGGTGCCAACCCTGCCAACCTCGCAGCCAGCGCTAAGCAAGCCCTTATCAAGGCTGGAGGAAGCGTCCCACTATAAAAAAGAAACAGATAACCGAGCCATAAACTCAATAATATAGTATTGTAATTAATATATGATGTATAACCCTCTACTAAGATCTCGCTAAGAAATCTTTATTCCATTTACCTTTCATTATTTACCGAAAACTTTCATTAAAATAGATGATTATTATATTATTATAAATATTTAAATATAAGTTTTAAACAAAACCACGACGAACTGGCTTTCATTTTTGACTATGTTGATCTTTTGTAATTTAATAAAGATGTATCCAATTTGATGAAAAAAAAGCGTGTTTTTATTAATCCCTTAAAATTACTGAAAAACAACATATTTTTTGTTGATTGATGCTTGGGTACCGTCTCTTCATGAAACCTGTACAGTACCTACACGTAACTCGTCAACCCCAAAATTGTTACATTTCCACGCACTCGTGAAAAGTTTCCCGAGATTGTCATGCTACGTGTGTTGAAGGCCTATATATACTATTTATTTGTCCTAGAAATGAATTCTAGAAATTTCGAATCGTTTTTATAATTATGTTAAAATCATACCAATAAATATTTTGTTCATTCGTGCGGTACGAGTAGTAGCAATACTAAAATCAATAATGTGATATTAAAAATATAAGATATCACTTATTTCGTACTCGATAATAATCCTATTCAAGTTGACTTTGGCAAAAACTGAAAAGTAACGTATTTTAAGTGTTAATTATTAACGAAAATTGATCGTATAAGTTTAATAAGTTATTCATTTCAAATCTATAACTATATTGGAATAAGGTAAAAACGTCAAGTAATTATATAAATAAACAATGCCGTAACGATGAAATGCTTATCTTGTAATTGTAATGAAATAAAGCTGTGTATCTACTAGAGGTAAAGGAAATAGAGGCTACACAAAATTTAAAACATAGGCTCTGAAAAACTCTACACATACAGAATAGCAAATATAAAAATAGGAACTGGAAAAGGTCTTTTTGAAAAAGTCTGCAAAATATATAAAAAATACGTTACCGTAAACCTCGTATAGTTTACTCGTAGAGTTTAGGACAGCTGCTTAATCAGAAGATTATCTCCAAACATACGAGTATATTTTCGCCTACTGAAACAGAGATTCTACACTATAAAAAAAATAGAATATGTAATCCTCTGCATCAAATACTGTTTCATAGATAAGTTATTCATGTCATGTCATTCACTGCTTCAGAATATGAAATAAAACTAAGTGTTATAAATGTCTTTGACGAGGAAGTTCATTTTGGCTCGCAATCTAATAGCTCCTCGCAAGGCAGCATAATTGTATACTCAGCTTAAAACAATAAGGAAATAATGCTTTTCTGGTTCCAATCTTTTTCAATTTGTGAATAATTTTAATGCAGAAAAATAGCCAGTTAAATAGATAGTTAGTCAGTTAAATTATTGACAATTGCACTCATCACAATAACAAAAAACAAAGACGTAATTTCAACAAAAACAAACTCTATTACTTCGATTCCAAAGTCTGTTAATGTCCCCCCCACTACTAGGGCCTAGGCCTTTCATGTGGCAATCCACAGGATCGAATCGAATTGAATAGGGAAAATGGACCATGACCCATCTTTGGGGCCAGTGCGATTTGGTGGGTGTAAATAACTACAAATGCAATCAGAATCAATAGCTTGACGTGCTAATTAGGACGTGTGGTCTTCTAAAGCACGAAAAAGAACGAGGAAATAAATTATATAGGATCTTTAAATAAGGACTTCTAAACTTTGATATATAGCGGTACATTGTTGAACCCATATTACACAGAAAGACGTTAAAGCCACATAATTGTTCAGTCTATTTTGCCATATCCCCACAGATGGAAATAACGCTCAAATTCACGTAAAAATGATAAGATTGATAGATCAGAACGGAGTATAAATTTGAGTCCACTAGTTCTGTCACAGTCAACAAACACCCGTAAGTGAAGGATTAAATAAATAAAAATGTGTTAAATGGAACAGTTTAACAAAAGTATTATGTACGACAATAGCCACGTTAGTTAAAAAACTGAAGTGCAGCTATAAACGCCCAACTCCAGGCAGAAATTAATATCTAAAATATTACCGCTTTCCTTGGGATGATCCTAATGAGGTCATCATGCTCTCAACGATACGATATCACCATGTTAAAAGTTTTCTTGTGGAGGTTTTCAAGTCTATACATCGGTCAAATTCATCGCCAGAATCATGAAAAAAAATATTGGTGCGCGATTTCTCTTACAATTTACTTTCCCATTTTTAATACATTTAATTAGATAGTAGGTATTAATTATATTTGATGACCTTTTAATAATACTGAAAACATATTTTGATTATCTTTTACAACAAAACATTTGAATAAACAGTTGTATAAATGGTCATCGGTCAGGAGTTTCGATTTACTTGACCAACGTCATATTGTAGAGGAAAACTTTTATACCTAACTCGGGATAAATTTAGTAAATTATGTTTAACAGAGCACAAAGCTTGTAATAAACAGTCTACAATGAAGCAGAAATCTTTAGTTTTTTGTGTGATATTGTTTATTTGTGATGAAGTTAGCGCTGGTAATGTATTATTACATTTCTATATATCATAAAATTATGTGTACGTCTTAGGTGCGACAGTAACTTATAGTATTTATAGGATAATGAACATTGCTATTTTTTTCTGTCAATTTATCATCGCTTATTAATGAGTTCAATTATAATTAAATTTCTCACGAACCATTCACACGAAGCCAGTAGCGGAACCAATCAGTAAGCTTATATAATTCTATAAAATTAGACTGGCTTGAGGATTTATCTCCCTCTACTCTAGGTCAATACTGGACTAGCTTACTGGACTAACTTACTGGACCAGCTTACTGGACTAACTTACTGGACTAGCTTACAGGACTCTCTTTGCTACTGACCTCGTGCAAATGATCAATTATGAAGAATGAGGAAAATTTGAATTGTAGTTCTACGACTATTCAAGATCATGAAGCTTTTACACTTGTGGCATGAGTCTTTACCTCTTTGGCGGTTTTATTAAAACCGGTTCTTACTTCAACGTGTTAAGATTTATGAGCTCTTAATAGCACAATAAATAAAACTTTAAACAAAGATACCTTATTATTGATAATCGAAAACTTGTTAAAAATAATTAATGGCACAATTACAATTGAAGTAAAGTAAAAGAAAATTAAAATAGTTAAGTGTAACACTCGTGTATTTTCTTTTTAGACCACTTTATTATAAAAATTTTGTTAATCTCCTTAGCTACTTCGCAGTTGACTACATTATTCTACTTTAGAGGGACTTCCTCATGAATTATATAATATTTATTCATATATATAATTCATTTCACTGTAACTGTAATATTTGAACATTTTATTTGCAAAAATAAAAAATCAATCAATATGGCATTGGTGATTGACATTTCTGAAAATTTCTGCCAATTAAGCGAACGGGCAGATAACGGATAAGTTTATTTATATTGCTACACCTATGACTATCCTCGCTTAGAAAGAAGTTAGCCGCTTGACGGTTTTTTTGTTGGTAACATTGGGAAACGCACCTTAAGCCTCAAAGCCAGGGCTACACAAGCACACCTATTGCAGCTTAAGAGCATATCATATGAAACCCTAAAAATCATTATCATCACCATGTTACTTGATATCCTTATAGCAAACCGAACACGCAGACCGATGCTTCATCGAGCTCCTCTGCCCTAAACATTACATAAGTTACTCTAATTTCAGGTATATTGGATCAAACTCCGTCCATAGTTCTCTTCACTTCCACAAACGACGAGCATAAAGATATGAACAAACAATTCGAAAATATGACCAGAATGATGGGATTCATGACACAACGGCTTGAATCGGAAGATAAAAATGATTTACCGTCAATGGTCATTGCATCCAATTTTTATTTCAATTCGTAAGTATTTGAGTGATCTTATGTAAAATTTTAATAAGAAAAATATTGTTTTTAACCGACTTCAAAAGCAAAAAGGGGGAGGTTATATGCTCGACGGCGATGTATATTCACCGATATTTCCGCTAATTGTAATTTAATTATTTTTTTATTCGACAGCTTAATGGAACGCGGTGGTCCCATTTATATTTGGTCGAAATTGAATCAGTAGTTTTCCTTTTATAATAAATAAAAATCAATTATCAATATCATCATCAACCAATAATAAATCAGGTTTATCTTAAATATTTAGATGTGTAAATTATAAGGCATGTCCCTCGTATTATATAGCTTAGATGAAAGACTTTTATTGATCAGTCCAATAGTTTCGGAGCCTATCCAATGTGAACAAACAAACAATGGAATATATCCTCATTATAATACTATTGGAAAAAAATATGCGGAGCAAACAAACGAAATCTTTTTTTCTAAGACTTTGAATGTATGGAATATGTTTATTTAAATAATTATTTAATATTTTTAGTGTTACCTATTATATAATAAATAACAATATCACTAAAAAGCCTTTTGATATAACCTACACAGCATCTTATCATTAGAACTATAGTAACACACAAATAATCTGTAATACCTATATTATATTATAGTCACAGAAATATTTTTATGTAGTTATAATGAAGTAATGTTAATATAAAAAGAAAATAAAATGTATATTGCATAACATAAAATATGTAAGCTATTGTTATCCCTAATAAAGAAAAATAAATAACAATGAGCACTAAAGAATTGTAAGTCAACCTTTTTCATCTTTACCGCATACTATTTTTGAACTGTTAGCTATTTTCCCACGACTTCGCTCGCATAAATTATAACCTGCATCATCCGCGTATAAAGTACATAGCTTCCCGTAGGTGAAAGAAAGTTTAAAATCGTTCTATAGATAAAGGAGATATTTCTATAGATATTAAAACAGACACATTAGGAATACAATATTACACATCAAATCCACGCTGCGTGGGTAAGATTTTTAACTTGGTTTCGTACTTGAGAACATAACTACAAGCAAATAACCTATGATTATATACTTCTCTTTTCAGAATCATAATCAATTTAAGAACTATTATTAACTGCAGCTCGTTACAATTACTCAAGGGAACAAATTTTCACACCAGTGATATCACCGAATGTCCTTCTAATAAAACAGAAACCGTTTTCACCGACAACGTTTTGAAATACGAACGCCTCTACGATGCTATAGTTAACAAAGATTTCCAGGTGCACGACAAAGTCCTTGTTGGTCTACCAAGCAACCTTCCTAAAGTTCATGATGTCCAAGCTAAACTAGAACGTTTGTTTCCAACCTTGCCTCTCATTTTTCGTGATGACAATGAAATGAGAAATCTTACAATTGACTCCTCTATTTTGGCAGTAGTAACTCCATCAGCATATCAATTGGAAACAAAGACACCAACTGTAATTTATAGTACGCCTCATGTTCATCCAGAAGATAAAGATCATTTACCTAACTCTATTAACTTATTGAATTCCATGAAATTTGTAAAACACGCTATTCTATATTTTATTAATTCCATGCATTGGTACAGAGTAGCTATTTTATCAGATGACCATGAAGATAGTGCAGAATTTTTAGATGATCTAACACCTTTTCTTCTTGATAATGGAATAGTTTACACTTCTCAGACATGCAGTAAAAGAGACTGCAATTTTTTTGACGTGAGTATCTTTACACATTTAATTTTACTAAAAATTATTCAATAACAGTTCAGGCAATCCTCCCAAACAGCTGAAAATGTTTTAAACTTTCGATAGAGACGAAAATTTGTTCTAATTATTATATTTGATCAATTTTGCTTTCACAATGCTATACTGAAAGTATTCTTAATCAAAAATTCTTAAAATCCACTTTGTTCCTGGCGCTATAAGATGGGATTCAAACTCACGACATTTCGCAATCCGGGCGACTGCTCTAACCACTGAGCTACACAGGACCTAACAGGATTGTCGAATTTTTCATGCACTTGTTACTTTTTCGCTATATTATTTATTAAAATTCTCAAAAAGAAATTTTAATAATGTTTATTTTTGCTGTTTACAGATATTATAAGCAATGACGGAAATAAAAAAAAAATAACAAGTAATTAATAAATTCACCATTCCCGTTAGGCCTCCGGTAACCCAGTAGGAAGGCACTAGCCCGGATAGCGAGATATTGTCCGTTCGAACCGGGCCTGATAGCAAAGGCAGTTTTTTAAATTATTGCTTTAAATAAATACAATTTTTTATTTTTAAAAAACCTTGTATATTACAGGCAGCAGTAACTCTTAAAACTGCAGCCGCAAGAATCGTAATATTGAACCTGCACCCGAAGAATGTAGACAAAATAATGCCATTTATCAACCACGAACCAGTAAAGTACATTGTACGTGAATGGCCGTTCAACAAAGATCAAAAGGTATACAACGGAAAAATAGAAGGGCAGATTCAGATTAATACAAACAATATGATCGTACGAGAACTATTGCGAAATACATAAACAGTAACGTGCATAAAGATATTAATTAACGTAAAGTGAGCGAAAGAATTGTGTAAAGACTGGGTCTCGTAGAACTTTTTTTTCTGTTCCTGTCTATCACACATGGGATCCACCTTGAAGAAATTATAGATTTTTATCTATTTTAGCCAACAAATACATATAGCTCTCTCCAAATCTTGATCAAAGAAACAGCAGCCGACAGGCAAATATAGTATAATATAATAGATACTCATTTATTTTTATTTCTCTTATAATCATGGTCATATTAACTGAGTGAAAATTGTATTCAGTTACTTTAATAGTTGAAATGTGCGGTTCACCCAAAATTCAAGGAATCAATTATTTTGAAAGAACACATCTTATTTATGAGAAAGAAAACTAACTTTTCTTATAGTTTCAGATAAACAGCGACCTATTTTCATTTACATTGACTCCCGTATTCTCAGAAGATTTTACTCAATTATGGACAAATCATGACTCTCCTTATATTGGTGGGATTAAGAAAAGTCTTGAGATCATAAATGTAATGTATAAGCGTGCTCACGGTGATAAACAATTGTTCGCAAAGTAAGTGGTATTTAAATTCATCATCATTCTATCAATGTTTTTAAACAGGCTTTCTCTATGAATGGAATCAAATAAACAGAACGAGCTATGATCGTCCAAATTGAACTAGCGCGAATAGATGTTACTTTAGATGCAGTTAGAAGCTTAAGATAATAAACTTTTGGTCACCCATCCTTGTTAACTTGACCAAACGTGCTCATTTTTAAATTAATGAAAATTGTCCTTAGCTTTTAAAGTCAATACACACCAGACTTTTTCAAACGTCCGTTTCTGAAACAAGTGCTTTAATATTTAAATTTTTTATTTGAAATATATACAGGCCAGCATGCTTTTTATAATTTGGCTGGGTTATGGTAATCATTTAAAGTGTGCCTTGATCTAAAAATGTGTTTTCATATATGTATAAATCAAAGTCAATTGCTGCTCATTTGTCTCGCTAAAACTCGAGTACGGATGGAGCGATTCAGCTGAATTTAATTCTGAAATGTCTATCGTAGTTCAGGGAAGGTTTAAACGATGAAAGGTGATGATACAATGTACACCAGGTAGTATAAAATAAATTCAAGGTTGAATGAAATTGATATCTTAACGCTCATCGAGAGTCGCTAAATATGCAGCATCTATGTCACACCACATCGTATAACAATTCAAATATGGAGAGGTATTTCTAATATTTTGTTATTTATCACTCGCAGAAATTTCAAAATGAGAGCAAGTCGTGATGAACCATATGGAGCCATCGTTCACATAGTTCGTAAACAATATAATCAAGATTTTCGTGTCGTCGCCTCCATGATAATTGATGGATCCAACGTCAACGTCGTCAGATTCGACAAAATATACAATCAGTTACCACCGGACTTGACTAACCATTGTATCTTTAGGAGCAGGAACTTCTTCAAGCCTTGCAACGATACCTTACTTCCACTCCTATTGGGCATTATTATTATATTCATTTTAATTTCTATTATTATCATGGTTTACTTTAACAAGTCTCGTAGGAATGTCTATGATCGTTTGTTCTAAAGTAAAGATTCTTAACATCAAGCCTTCCGGTTGAAACTTACTCAGTAAATCAACCATAGATAATGTTTAAGTACTTTCGGATCAAAAGTCTCGCCTATATTAATTTTGAACACACTGAACTGCAGTTGATTGTGTACTTGTAAATTATTATTATTATTAATATCTCAATAAATGTGTTCTGTCCTATGCTATATTTTATTAAATGTAATGATAGAATGAAGATAGCTAGTTTAATTATATATATTTTCACATTACATGTCCCATTCTATTTGTAAGAAAAGGGGTGAACATTTTTTTTTATCGATAGAAGTTTACCTGAAATTACAAACTTTTACTTATACATCGTCTAGCCAAGGGTTTCTGATAGTGGGCCGTATTCACTACAAAGATTACGTAATACTTGATCACTTGACAATAAAGGTTAAAATTTATCAAGAATACTCATAAGACTGAATCAATCTGCGACATAAAGTAAGCCTACCCATCGCAGTTTTAATAAAGTGATTTTTCTTATGGAATTTCATTTGTTGCCTTTTAATCAAACAAAAATCTTATTTTCTTTAACAACTAATTTCATTATTTGGCATTGGTTTTCGCTATCATCTGGAATCTTTTACGGGGGTTCGTGGAGTTAAAAGTTTAGGAATTCTTGGTCTAACTAGTTGACAGAAAGTCGTCTATTTATTTATAGTATTGTTCTATCTAACGTTGTATTTAGCTACTTGACTTCCAAACTTTACACCATATGATTGAATAATATTTTGCAATCAAAGAACTATTTAGAAGTGTTAATAACCGATTATTTTAACGAGTTTTATTATGAAATGAAAATATCTTTATTCAAGTAAGATTATTACAAAGACTTATGAATCGTCCAAAAAAAAAATTTGTTCCCCTAATACTTCTTCATGACGTCTTTTAGCTGACATAAAGAACAAGTGAAAGAAACTTACCAGCTCTTTATCATAAGTATGACATTTACATAAATAATGTCATTACCAAAATAATATGTATTATCACAATAATAAATACAACTTTCAAAGTTTGTAGGTCATAGTATAACAAAGCGAAGGCTATTAATTCCATGCATTACGGTCCTTAAAATAATCATCAATTTTATAATAGCTTTTATTAAATAGCGCATAAGTATGTTCTCTACGTTCATTTTAAATTTATTTACCCAGAAATGATCCTCTGGTTTTCTGAATTCTGAAGCTTGGAACGGCAATTTATTTTTATTACTTGTGTTAAGATTCTTTTTTTTTTTGTATAGTAATCGTAATACTTTCTTGCGTACATAATATTTTCATACATATATTGAGAGGCAACAAGCAAAAGATTTAGTTCTTTAAATCTCTGATAGATTCCCTAGACCGTAAATTATATATAACGCGGACAGCTCTTTTTTGTAGAATAAAAAAATCTTGAATACTAGCCGCAGAACCCCACAACAAAAGACCATACGTCATTGTACTATAAAAATAACTAAAATATACCAATCTTGCCGTTTCAACATTTGTCAAGAGTCTTAAGTCTTAACAGCAAATGCTGCAGAACTTAATCTAACTTGACAAGTTATCAATATAGGGATCCCATTGCAGTGGGAAATCTAGTGTAATACCAAGGAACTTTGTCGATTCCACCAACTCCACTTTTTCACTATTTACATTTATAAGTGTACTAACATGCCTCACATTAAGTAATGCAAACTTTATGCATTTCGTTTTATTTGAATTTATCTTTAAACTATTATTATCAAACCACTGTAGAACTTTGTCGAGAGCATCATTTACATCGTCAAAATTAATTATAATATATTATTTAGTTGATTATGTATATCTGTGCCGGTATGAAAAATGAGAGTTAAATAAAAAAAATACTTCGTTCTAATTCATTGATAATTATGAAAGTATTATTATAAAACAATAAATATTAAATATAAATGAAAAATTAACCGAGATTTTTAACAAGTTCCCTTAAATAATTGATGTCTTTCTTGTCGTGTAATCCATCGTCTTCCACATCGGATGATGTGGTGGAATATGGCGGTGCTGGACCTGATAGGTCGTAAACAAACGAACAAATCTGAAGAAAAAATTCAAATTTGATATAAAATAAAAATTACAAGAATCCGGTTTTAAACTTCGTCAAATTTTCATGTTATATTAATCACTCGTATATTTAAGACATCTGTTGAACTTGAATTTTTAAATTGGCCGTTTATTAATTTTCATGACTACAAAAAACGACAAATGGAGCTCATGAATATAAATATAAAGATTAATCAAAATCGAGTGAAAAGAAGAATAAGATATTGCGCAATATCTCTTCTCTGTCTATCACTAGAACTCTTTTCCTTTCGAAGTCGGAATTTCATTTATTATGGAAGCATTTTATTTTACAAATTTTAAAAATAATAACTTACCTTCTGGGTTACCGATCTTAAATTTTGTAATATCTTCAATGCCTGCCGCTTTTCTGTCGGATGCGAGATTTGGTATAGCCGTATGGATCTATGAAACTGAAACAAAATTATGACTCAAAACTAGTGTAGTGACAAACGCAATTTTTACTGTATAAATAATATTTATTTTTTACATAAATACGTTGATTTTTGTTTCTGCTTTATCAATAATATACCTACTATGTGTACTTATAGTAATACTATAAAGAGAAATTTGTTTGTTTGTTTGCATCAAATAGGCTCCGAAACTACTGGACCAATTTTAAAAATGTTTCACATTTTTCGTAAAAATCGCATACCGCTGAAACAGTTATCTTCGTACCTGCGTTCTATCTCCTTTTTATAAATGTTGTAGACGGCACGGAGGGAGTGTTGGAACACTACTTCTCAACTTGTAAGCTTAACAAAAATATATCAACATCAGCCCGTTATTGTCCCTGCTGGGCTTAGATTTTTTTTGTAAAAATACTATTATTACTAGCTATTATACTCGCTAATAATAATTCTTTATTGAATAATTATATAAGCGTAAGGAATCAATTTGCCTTAGAATTTAATCAAATAAGGACAACCACCCCTAACCAAATACGCATACCCAGTGCGTATTGGTGGCTGAAAAATTACATAATGACATTTATTTACCCTCTCCAATAGGCACCATGTGTCTCTATATTGCTGAAGAAAAACGATCGGAGTGAGCACAGTGGCGTAAAATGCCACTTCTCTGTCTAGTACGTCATCTCCCTCGGACATACCGTATATCGTACCTCTCAGCTTGTGAAGGAAAACTGTATTTGAATGTTCTTTGTCAAAACTGGAACAGATAACAAATATCACTTCATGGTCATCGTCTTCGTCACCAGACTACTAATGCTCTGCTGAGGCTCAGGTCTAAAATTTGGATGGAATTGAATAAATCGAATAGGGAAAACAGGCCATGACCCACTACGCAAGCCCAGTACGGATTGTGGATATTAATGGCTGCAAACGCAGCCGGGATCAACGACTTAACGTGCCTTGCGAAGCACGGAACAGCTCAAAATAATACATTTTTGGTCACTCATCCCGGCCATTGACAAAGTTGCTTCACAATCGTATCGCAGACAAAGCGCGTTAACGAATGCGCCAACGAGCTCCTCAAACAAATATCACATCATCAGCGTATTAATATCCCCACTGCAGGGGCATAGGTTTTCACCATGGATGTAATCAAAACAAATAAAATCGTGTCACATCTGTGAGTATAACGGGTGTTAAAGGTTATAAAGTCAAGAGTCTCTCTAGGCAAGCTCGGTTTACCGTAAATCTCATTCATGTTTTTGGGTTTCATTGGCGTCACGAGTGAACCCATTTTAAAATTAAAAATGCTTACTAAGGCAAGATAGCATAAAATCGCCTGACTATGTCCTTAGCTGAAGGACGGAGAGCGGAACAGGTCGCTTCCAATTCCTCCATTTTCTTGTGTCGATACATCCAACGTTCTTCACCGACAATCAACTCCGGATTCAAATCTAGCTCCGGATTTACAGGTGGCTAAATTATAAAGAAAATTAGACCGGTCTATTATAAAACTAAAGCCAGTACCCGGTTTTAACCATTCATAGAAGAGAAATCTTCAAATTAATCCTTATACTAAAGTTGGTGAAAGACGGTATTAAGTAATAGACATAGTATATGATAAAATTGTGTGTTACAAAAATCATGTCTTTTTTGTTTTCTATTGTAGACCTCAGTTTAAAATAAGGCGAAAGGAATTATTTAGCATAAGTTACTCGAGTGCCCTAATAAAGTTTAATTCCCTGTTAGGCTTAATTTTACACTATCTAATTATGATATATATAGTTTTCACAAAACTTATTAATCATATTGGAATATTTAGACTACAAGAAGTCCAAATCAATCACTATTATAAAGTAAACGGATTATATTTTTACAGTACATATGCTACAACTCGTTTCTCCCTAAAAAACTCGAGCTATCTTAAAAACCATTAATAGAGAGGCACTGCCTCTATGAGACTCATGTTTTGGTAGTACAGTATAGCTTTAACACATTTTTGTAACCACATGATGGAATAAATTATCTATCTAATATTTTGATACTCCAAGTAAGTAAATATAAAAAACGAATGTGACATACCTTAATCAAATAAACAAGTACAGTATTTAATACATTCATCTTATGCACCTCACTTAATTATTAAGCAAAACAAATTTAATATTTCAATTGTTATTTTTCTTCTTTTAATTTTGTACTCATCTTTGAGGTCCCGAGTTTAATTTCCGGTCAGGTCAATGTAGACAATGGTGTATCAGGTCAGGATGTTATGGTACTTTTTAGTACTCATCTTGGAATGTGAGCAATGTAGTGCGATTGTCATTTTATTTAATTATTCATTGTGAACCGAAGAAATTTTTGTATAAAAACACTCACCACGAAAACTAAATAAAGCAACATAAAACAAATTTTTCTTCCCATATCTGTATTCTTGACGTAATCATCATACATCGATTCACATGAAATTACCCAATAAAAGACATTTAAATTTCATTAAGACAATGGCACGAGCTATTTACATTTAACTGAGAACTGAATAAATCCAACTTCTATTTTATACGCTAACATGTTGACAAAATTTTCTCTATGAACTTGACAATTAAATTATCACATAGACATATTGTATATCCTTTGATTTATATGTAACTTGGATTATGTCCCTAGCTCTCCATAGAGCATATATTCTATGGCAGTGATTTTTAGTCTGGTCGTAAAAACCTTGTAAAAACCCCTGTCATAGGTCCCTAGAAATATTCTAAGTGGTCCGCAGAGCCATAAAAATGGTAATCCAATCTACATCCGTTCGACCTTTTTTGGCGCTAGAAAATACATAAGTACTCATACTCCCTTCCCCCTGCTATAGGTCCACAAGTTATGTGAGACTCTTCCCTGCGGACCCACCCCTAGAATGGGGGCTAGTCAAATAATAGGAGCATACTCACTAAAACCTACCAATATCCCTCTATAAAAGCAAAGCAGGGTGCGGGTCCCACGTGTAACGATCTCCCGCACATTTCTCACGGGTTGAAGAAAAGGCTCCGGAACATATGAGTCTTACCCCCAGACAGGACAAGGGGCGTGCAATGCCTGGCAAACGCGCTAACCTGCCCAAGGCAAGAGATGCGCAACTGTGCATCTCTCACCCTAACCCGTCTCGTAGGAGGATTCACCTAGGTTGAGCCCCCGGGAATCCCTCTCCCCGATAGCCCCGTTTACCATCGATGTCCAGCCCGTCAGAAGCCAGGCCAGTCATCGGTTCACCGTCCCTTAGTCGCTACTCAAGTCGCGGTATAGCCCGGGCCCGGTCACTTCACACACCGAACCCCGCAGTCGAAGTTCGAGCTAGAAAACTCCCTCTCCTACTTCGCAGGACGACTCCCCAGCTTATCTCGCTACTGACCGTCCGCTTATAATCGTAAGTATATAACCAAACTAGATAGTATTATAAAAACCGTTAGTGATACTATATATGCTGACGTGACTTGGGTAGAATATTAAACCAAACTTGACCTACAACCTTCCTGGGTTCACTTGATTCTACTAGTTTATTAAATCCTCCGTAAAACTCAGGCCAAATAAAAGAAACAACTGTCTCTCTCTCTCAAGTTCAATTTAAGAGAGACTAGCTTTTGCCCCAGACTTCTTATTTCATTCCCATGTAGGTCGAAATTTAAATAAATATTTATTAATTCAAAGTTTCAAGGTTTTATAGTTCTATTAAAATATACTTAGTTCTATTGTTACTAACATTTACTATGGAGCTATATCTCTGAAATAAAGATTATTATTGTTTACCTTTGACAATAACAAACTTTCACACAAATTATTATTTCGTGTCATACTTTAACCTCTTCAACCCCTTTTTTCACGATAATATGTAACCTATTTCCTTTCCAAAAGCCGACTTTGTCTTTGTACCAAATTTCATTAATAACGGGTTCAATGTTTTAGACGTGAACGCGTAACAGATAAAGTTTTGTCTTATTATGGAACTAATGGAATTGTGCTATTTAGAGTTTACCAACCAACATAACGTTCATTCAATCATCTCAAAAGTAATAATTTACAACAGTACTCGGTCAAAGATTTAGATCTATACTATAAAGATTTTTATTAAAACCTCTTATAATGCATTGTTTGTTTATTTTGTTGTTAAAACAACTGAAAGTTTTTTTTTTTTCACTTTTTGGAAGCTATATCATACGCGGGTAACATAGACTATAATTTACGCGAGCGAAGCACTGACAATACCTATACTAATATTATAAAGAAGTTGGAGATTCTAATTTTGTTTGCTTGCAGTGAAATAATCTTCGAAAATGAAAATCCTATCACCTACGGAAAACTACATCATACGCTGGTAATACAGGCTATTATTTACGCGGCCAAAGTCGCGTAATGAGCTATTATTTTCCACGACATTGCCCACGTAACCGCGACTTTAGAATTATTTAATATTCATAATATTTTGTGTAGAAAGAGAATACTAAAAAAAAACTATTGAGAGGACTAGTCGCTAAAGAACATTAATAAAAAAATATTTGTGCTCTAATTCTTTATAACAAAAGACACAATATAACAGTTATCAAAGTCCTACAAACAAGTACCGTGGTACTTATGCTGGTGACTACTACTTCAGAGGCATCAAACGCGGAGAGAGGTTCATCCGGCGGGGTGTCGTGTGTAGACGACATTATCATTTCCTCTAGCTGATCCTGCAAAAATTGTCATCGTCACGAGCTTATAAATGTTTCTACTTGCTGAGGCATGCCGTCTCTATCGACGGATACACAAGAAAAATGGACAATTACCATTTTTCCTGTTTCCATCGAGGGCCCATTGCGGATTGATGGCAGATGCAGCCAGGATCAACGGCTTAACGAACATTTCGAATCACAGAGAGAAGGGAAGCTCGACAATATTTTCATCGTATACTGATCTTTGTGAATGCCATTTAAAGTAGCATTAACACCTCACCATTGAATCCTCACTAAACTGTACCTAATCTGTTCCGAAGCAGGCGAAAAAGTGTCAATGAACTAAACTATTATGTGAACGTCAGGCACTAGGAGCGTAATCTATGAGGGGAAAATTTCAAGGAAATGATTATTTTGGTTTATTAAAAAGCCGTTTTAATACTCCTCAAAAAAGTGGCATCCAATCGAAATTTTGTTTTTATTAAATCATTAAGATATAGATCATAAAATATACAATTATATTATACGAACCGATGCGTAGTTTCTCATCGGCCTTCTGAAAGATTTCACTAGTCTACCACCGGGTGGTAAAATACTCCTCGCTGATGCCTGTTAAGCCAAATAAATACAATTGAAATGTAGCTACAATTGAAACATTATTTTCAGTGCTTGTCCTTTCCAATTGTGAGCCTAAAAGCTCAAATCCCAAATGAAGTAATTGAAGCTCTAATTGTCTATTTATCTTATCACAAAAGGACTATTTATCTTTTGTTGGAAGATCAGGTCTGATGTTATAAAGACTGGCTATAGTGAATGAAAATAATCATGAATATTAAACAGGTAAACACAAAATGTCATCTTGACGCTTCACGTTCAATTCTCTCTGCCTCCTTCGCAAAGAATCAGGCGTGAAGATATAAAAATAATCAGCATTACCTCAGATTTGGTAGTCTTCTTCTGGTATATGTTGAGGGGGGTGATATTTTGTATAAATTCCTC